ATTTCTATTTTTTCAGCCTTTCCTTGAACATTATTTAACTGTGATAAATAATATTCATTCATATTCATATATTCATTTGGGAATATATAATATATTATATAATATAATAATAAATAGTTTTATGTAATTAATACATATTTCCATTTTTTCAGCCTTTCCTTGAACATTATTTAACTGTGATATTTATAAATAAAATAAATTTCTTAATTTATTTTTCATTTGGGAATATATTATATATAATAATAGTTTAATGTAACAAATACATGTTTCCTTTTTTCAGCCTTTCCTTGAAAATTATTTAACTGTGATATTTATAAATAAAACTACTTTCTTTCCTTCTTTATCATTTGGGAATATATAATATAATATAATAATAAATAGTTTAATGTAACAAATACATATTTCCTTTTTTTCAGCCTTCTCTTGAACATTTATTAGCTTTGATATTTATAAATAAAGCTACTTTCTTTCCTTATTTTTCATTTGGGAATATATAATATATAATATAATATAATAATAAATAGTTTAAGGTAATAAATGTATATTTCCTTTTTTTTCAGCCTTTCCTTGAACATTATTTAACTTTCTTACTTTATTTTCTATTTGCTAATATATTTACATATAATGTCATAAATCAAGCAGACATCTTGATCGACTATCAACAGCAGAATCGATCTAGGCATCTGCTTGATTTATTACATTAAACTGATCAAGAATATATATACCCTTTAAAGTTGAATATGACTCCTCAGTATTGAGCTTAGTTTGTTATTGGAGACAATTTGAAAAATAATAAACAAGCCAAGGGGATACTTATCACATAGAAATTGGATCATATTTCCAGTTCAGTTGGATGAAACTGGAAGTCTCTCTCTCCTCTCTCTCTCTCTCCCCTCTCACTCTCTCTCTCACTCTTGTAAACATTGCCATTTGCCATTATCGCTATGCGACTCTCCCTTTTCGATATCAATTGGAAATCAGTTCCTCCCACAACGCCGGGTGAAGCGGAGGGGAAAAAATTAAGAAGAAAATGTCTCCATGCAAGGAGATGAGTTAATAAAATCGAAAATAAGAAAAACTCAAGACAGACTTACTTAAGTGCGGAAAAACAGGGCAGGTGCCAAAAGTGTGAAGTGAAAAGTGTGCAGTGAAAAGTGTACAGTGAAAAGTGTTAGTGAAAAGTGTTAGTGAAGTATAAGCAAAACCTAAACATTGCCAAGATCAGTATGTGTTCTTAGTTTGTGCTTATTTTTTGTCTTTTTTTATATGTGCAAGTGAAAAAGGAACGAATATCAAATATCAACTATAAAAAGCAAATGCTCTTATCTCTCCCCTCAAACCCCAAAAAATAAATGCATCGTTGTCATTATTATGAATTATAAACAAAGGGAACGATATGGAAGAACCGGAGAAAAAGGTATAAAAGTGTAAACTTCAAGGTTTTAATTTTTTTAAATATTAATTCGTCGTTGGGATTTGCAGTAAACAATAAAAACAAGTAAGTAAACTAATTTCTTTCTTTCTATTTCTTAGTATTCTCTATTTTCCCTTATTCTCTGCGTTCTCTAACTTCGTTGGCATTTTTTTCTTCTCCTCTTCTTAAATAAATATTTATTTTTTATGCTTAAAGAATACGATCCACTTTTGTGGGTGCCAATTTTCACATTTCAAAAGCTGCTGCCATTGTTTACCTTTTTTTGTATTGGGAATTTATAACACAAAGCAATGCAATTGAAACCTAATGAAATTTAAGTTTATAATATATATATATATATAAATAATTATTATATATATTTCATAATATATATTAATATTACTGATATGATATATGATATGATTCTTAATGAAACCCTAAGGGCATAGAAACTTCAGTTTGCTTCCTTTTTCAAGTTTATTTTTTGCATTTAATCCTTTTTTTGTCAACCCAAAATGCCAATATATTTTCGTATGTTTTTCCAATGAGTTTTCACCTGGCTGCCTTCTGTGTCCCCGCAGAGGCAGTGTCTCTGGAGAAAATAAAGCCAGTCCCTAATCGCATTTGACTCTACCAATATATATATAGTATATATCCCCTTGGCTGGCATGGGATCCACTTTTCCTCCTCCTCCTCTGATGATTCTCTGTGGGATTTGTTGTTAATTTTGTAGGCACTCGTACTTATAAATATATAAATATATATATACTTACATAGGAGATATACCGGCAGAATGCCAACAATATGCAGGTGCATATTGTGGGGCAGATTGCGGATTGCGGATTGCGGCTTTTGCCTAACAAGTGCCAGCAAATGTACCGTGAAGAAACCATTTAGGATTAGTTTAATATGATACACAGAAGGAGACGGAGACGGAGGAGCAGGAGCTGGGCCAGAGATAACGCTCCTGGAATAAGCAAACAGTACTTAAAACTGCCGGGGCACCACCGACTACTTAAGATGTGCCATAGGACTAAGAGAGAGCAAAAAAAAAAAAAAAAACAGAAAAGAAAAGTAGGAAAAGCCACGAGCAACGGACTCTGGTGAGATAAAGCCCGGGCTCAGCCCTCAGTCTGGGGAGTAAGGGGGAGGGAGGAGCAGCCCGGCACAAAGGAAAAAAATGACAAATTTGCAAATGTTAAGACGGAAAGAAAACATCAACATAAGTTATAGGCTTAGTGCGTAATCGTTTTTCGCAAAGGACTCTCGTCCTTTTGGTTGCCAAAAAAAAGCAAAGAAAAGTGGGGCGCGGATCGTGGTGGCATGTGGCAACCAGGATAATGATGCCACCAGTCAAGGCAGGGCCATTTTTGCGGTTTAGTTAACAGGGGGAAAGCCCTTACAAAAATGTGGCTTTAAAATATTTCTTTCAAATTATTTTATTGCATGCAAGTTGGGTTTATAAATTATCTATTTCTTGTTTCTGATATTCTGATCTCCAGCCAAAAATAGGCACTCTGTCTCAGATCATCGACTTAGCGCGCGGCTCTGTTCGCCGGCTTTCAGCCTCCATTAGACATTAGCCATGCGGATTTCCCTGGCTGTTCAAATTAAAAATTCATAAAAGCAGAAATGCGAAATTATGATGATAAAATAAACACAGAAAAGAAGCCGCAGACGCAGGCAGACGGCCAACGACAGGCGGCTCTAAGAAAGCGGATACATGCACTGAGAGAAAAGTTAAGCCTTAGGGGGTAATAATATAAAAAATATGTGAAAAAAGTTAGCCTTAAAAAAATACATATGTGACTTGGGAGTGATCAGTAAATAATACAGAATAACAAGTTAAATTGTGCAATATTAATATATATACCATGAATTATAAGAACTTTGTTTTAGTAAGCTATAATATATTTATACTTTTTCGATTTTTACCTTAATATAAAGGTAAAGTTGATATATAAAAATATATTTAGTATGGCTTATTTAATTTCTGATAAATCAATATTCTGATTGATATATCGTAACTATGGAATAGGTAAAACAAAATAAATAACTAAAATGAAATAATCAAAATGTTTACTAGAAAGTTCTCTATTTTAACAGTAACACAATATTTATAGATTTTGTTTATATTTTTATAACAATATAGATGATATTTTCGATATATTTCATATAAATTTATCGGTCTGTTCCTCTCTCTTTAAAAGGCTGCAAGTTTTGACTATCCCCAACTTATTTTTGTCAGTGTTCTTTTAAGAAAGAAGGCGAGTAAGTGGGTGGTTTTTTTCTTCATGTTTTTTTTCGTTTTTTTTTTTTTTTTTGAGAACAAGGACTCAGGGTTGGGTCCTGCGAGCTGTGGGTGAACGTGACATTGGCCGGCTACTGTGAGAAAAAGCCAGCCGCAGAATGCAGGACGTTCTGGGGTGACAGGACGAGGGACAAGGGGAAGACTCTGGCGACTTGAGCGCTGATGATGTGGATAAAATAAACATGGGACATTGGTTTGGCCAAGGATGATGGGTAGGAGGAGGAGGAGGAGGAGGAGGGGGAGGAACTGGGTGCTGGCCTGGACGAAAAGCGTGTTTAAACATTAAAAGGACCATTAGATACGCCTTAAAGTATGCTTCAAGTAGATTATCTTCCATCAGTTTTGTTTGCTTACTTGGAATTGTTTCGCTTCATTTTTCTCGTTTGCAAACACACACACACACACACATTCGTGTATAGAGAAAAGGAAAAACCCAGGGAAAATCTTTCGGTGGCCAAAGCCAAAGCCAAAGCGAAAGCTGAAGCTATATCTGAGGCTGAACCAAGCCCGAGAGAGGAAGACGACGTTATTATAAATTGTGCGCGTGTCCTTGTAAAATAACATCAAGTGAACCCAAAGGCCCGGTCCTAGCCCTGTCCCACCCAAGGAGGCAAGACAGCACACTCTCTGGTCAAGTCCTGGCCCCGCGTTGCTTCTTAAATTACCAAGAAGTGCGCTTATTGCTGCTCTGCTTTTGGCCATGGCCCGTGGCTCATGACTGACTGACTGACTGATGGAGGGGGGAGTGGGTGGTGGTGCCACCAGCCTTGGCTTAATTTAAAGCCAACCAATTTCTCGTAAATTTCTATTCCAAGCGGACGACGTATTGGTTACCCACAGAGATCGGGCAGAAAATAGTCATCGTTATGGTTAGAAATGGGTCAGTAGAAAAAGCCTTGAATTTCATTGAATTTTTCTTTCCAAATGAGACTAGTTTTATTTAAAGGCCTGAATAATAGGGAAAATGTATGCTTTTTAGAGAAAATGTATAAAATATTTAAGCTAAACCTATAACAGTTTGAGGAACTTATGCTTAAAGTATCTCTTCTTCTACAAAACCAAACTATAAGTAATAAATAATTGTTATTTATACATTTTGTAAATGTGTATTGTATAATATACACAATTTTCCTTCTATATAATCGTTATTTTCTCGATTATATTTTAATTTTCCACCATTTATCACACGCTCTCCCTCCCCCCATCGATAGGGAAATGCGAAGCTATACTAAGCCACTTGCAATTTATTAACACCTGGCAAGAGTCCCTGTTTCGTATCTATATATATATATCTGGCCTTTGTGAACTCTAATTACATTAGCACTGGCTCCTGGCCTGGCTTTAGCCTAAAGTCCTGCCATTCAGTCATGCGCCTCACTATCCTATGGATGGTCTCCGCCTCGTTTCTGTCGGGGATTCAGATTCGGGGACAGAATCTGCTCCTGGCAGAGCTACACAGTGCCCAGGATGAGCTCAATATCTGGCGACTGGCCAGTGCCACCAGTTATTTGACCAAAACTTACATAGCCAACAGGATGAACACGCTGGTGATTCGTCAGAGTTGTTTGTCGTGTCCTTCGGGGTTAATGCTTCGCCAGCGCAGGGTGATCGATGAGGTCCTGTGGAGCCTGGCGCCTTACATCACCGTCCTGCTGCATCGTGGCACACCGGAGGAAACCTCCGAGGACTACACACTCTTCGTGGTCAACGATCACCTGGCTTTCAAGTGAGAGTGTAGGATTAGTCATTCAAGCTACATAAATTCCCAAATCTACTTTTATCATAGAGAACAAGACTTTACCTTTCCCGATGAAATGCTCGAGCGTGAATTCTACTTTGTGGTGGTTGTGACAGAGCTGCAGACCAGTGAATCCATCATGGAAACCGCTGGCAAGATAATCGTTAGGAATCTTCAACGTCCGGTCATCAATGTGGTGGTGGTGGCCCAACTGGAGGATGGCCAGGTCAATACCTATGCATACAAGCTCTTCAAGAAGAACTGCACGGCCGGAATAACAATGTGGCGGAGCAATTACTTTGATCTGACCACCGGGCAGCCCATGGAGGCAATGCCCGATCTGTATCCCGTAAGGTTTGTCGACCTTAGCGATTGTCCTCTGAATGTGAGTGCCAATGTCATGCCGCCTCATTTGATCTACAAGGGACACGGGAACCTGCCTCCGTCCAGTCGAGAGCAAGTGCCTGCCCATGATCTGGCTGGGATTGATTGGGAGCTGCTCCAGCTGCTGGCCCGGGCTTTACGCTTCCGGATCAATGTGTATATGCCCACCGAGACGAGTCAGATCTTTGGCGAGGGCAATGTCACCGGTTGCTTTGCCCAATTGGCCAATGGGAGTGCCCAACTGGCCATCGGCGGACTGAGTGGCTCCGACAAGAGGCGCTGGCAGTTCTCCAAGTCGACGGTGTATCATCAGAGTCACTTTGTCCTGGTGGTGCGGCGGGATCGATATTTGGGTCGCTTCGGTCCACTCCTTCTGCCATTTCGGGGCAAGGTTTGGACTTGCATAGTGGCTGTGCTGCTCCTGGCCGTGATTAGCACCTGCTGTCTGCGTTCCCGTCTTGCCTTGAGTCATCCCCTGGAGAATTTGGTCTCGGTTAGTATGGGTAACCCTATGCCTATCCAGAGACTGCCGGGAAGTGGTTTCTTGCGTTACCTTTTGGCCAGCTGGTTGCTCCTTACTCTTGTTCTGCGGTGTGCCTATCAGGCACGTTTCTTTGATGTCCTGCGACTGCCGCATCACCGACCGCTGCCCGAGGATCTGGCTGGGGTTATCGGCGCTAACTATACCCTAGTATCCAATGGCTATCATGATTTCTATCCCCTCAATCAGACGCAGCATCTGGGGGAGTCCTTTGGGGCACGATTTAAGAGGGTGCAGCACGCAGATCCCGGCGAGCGTCTGACCACTATCTCGCTGATTAGCAACCTGGGGTATTGGAATCACAAACACAGGAACATTAGCCAATTGACCTTTATCCGGCAACCGATTTACCTGTACCAACTGGTCATATACTTTCCCAGGAGATCCTTCCTCAAACCAGCCGTGGATCGCAAGATCAAGCAGCTGCAAAGTGCCGGTGTCATTGCGCAGATCGATAGACGCTATCTGCGCTATGGGAATCTGGTGGATGCGGATAATGATCGCACTGTCCTAATTCGGATCACCTGGAAGATAATGTCGGGTGCCTATCGCATCCATCTCGTGGTCCTGATCCTGGCCGGAGTTGTCTTTGTGCTGGAGTGGCTCTCCGGCCGGTGGACAGCGGGTAGGTTGCATCAATGGATGGAGTGGGTGCAGACGCGGACCTAAGCTTTATTCAAAATATGTGTGCTTTTTTATCGATAGATATTTTTAATCGAAGCTAATTTTTTTTGCATACTTTAAAATACCATTAAATAACATTTACAAATATTTATTAAACTATTTTCTCTAAAGATTTAATATTAAAATACAAGTTTCTTGTCTTTCAATTGCACAAACACTCAAAATTCAAAATCACTGTGATTTTTCGTGTTTTTAACATCGATAATTTCCCCCAAACTGTACTAAAAAAAGCTAAACTGGCATCATCGCAGCATTGACTCTAACTTCCCAACATCGTTCTTTTCATTCCGGTGGCGTCGCTGACAAGTTCGTGGAATTTTCTTCTCAGTTTCGGTCTCTGTGAATTTTAGTCGCACCATTTTCGTGGCAAGAATAGGAACTCAATAGGAACTGCAACAGAAGAAGTGCTTAAAAACCATCAGGTGAGTGCTGATCAGGTGAATTCCTGGCCAATAAGTGTGATAAGGGTAGTAAGCAGGTTTCAAGAATCGCAAAACCTGCATGCAGGCGCAACATGCACGTGTGTGTGTGTGTAAGTGAGGAGGAAGATTTAGGAAGAAAATGTAATTGTGGTGGGGAATAATAATGCAAAATATTGAAACTTATATTCTTTATTCTATTCCGATCAAAGAAATATCTGTGTGCGAAAAAATTCGAAAAGAATCCGTGGTGAAAATCAAAAAGAGGCGCATGCGCGGCTTCGTCGTTTGCGTTTGTGTTAGTGAAGGTAAAGGTGAAAGTGAAAAGTGTTAGGAAAAAACGGATTGTGTGAGATATATAATGAATAATGGTTGAATATATATTTTAAATATTTCTGGATCAAGGGAATAGATGTTTCCAAATCAATATAGTGAGAAATTCAAGAAGAATCTATAAAAAAAAAGAGGAAGAGTGGAGCGCATGCGCGGCGGCGTCGTTTTCATTTGTATTAGTGAAGAGGCAAAGCGTCGAAAAATCGTGCGGAAATGTGTAGGAAATAGATTGGCAATTATTCGTATATATAAATATATATATATATTTCTCAGAATCAAGTAAATATCAGAAGAGTGGTGAGAAGAACAGCGAAGGCGCAAAATTCCGTTGGCGAAAAAGAAAAAGAGTGGCGCATGCGCGCGGGCTTCTTGTGTGTGTGTATGAGTGCACGCGTGCCTGTACTCTTGTATTAGTATATGTGTGTATACACATAACAAAATGGGTGATAAAGATGCCGAGAAACATGCAAAGGAAAAAAGCATACAGAAAAATGGTGGCACATAAATGGTACACATAACAAAATGGCCGACAAAGCAAAGCGAAACTGATAAAGATGCCGAGAATCATGAAATCAAAAACGTTTACAGCAAAATGGTGAAATGATATTTAGAAGAAAAAAGATAAACATATTGTAGGAGTTTTTAGTGTTGAATACTGAGCCCTCATTTGGAAAGTGAATACAAAAGAAAAAAAGGGAATAATAATTATAAATTAATCACATTTATAATTTACAAATTATACAAACCATATGTATTTTTTTCCTCTTAACCTTTATCATTTGTAGGTATTAACAACATCAGTTGACATCATGATGAATCCGGATGATGACGAACCCGGGTCTTCTAGCCACACTCGTCAACCGTTTCCGGTGGATGAAATGAAAGATGCTAACAAACGGGCCAGAAACAGCCCACCAAATTTTTGTTCAAAGACCAAGAAGCTTCGTGTAGAGCTAACTGAAGAGGAGGAAGCCGCTTCCTATTTTGGCCAGGAATCTGAGATTGGTCTCTCTAATCCCTTCCATCAGGGTGAAAATAACAACCATGGTACAGAGCCCATAGTCATCGATGACGATGATGTGCCGCTTGTGGCAGATGCCAATAATGATCAGAGATCGCAGAATCCTATAATTCTCATTCAGACTGACAGTGAGAGCGGGGACGAGACTGAGGAGCAGCCTCAGTATCAGCCATTGACAAGGATGTCTTCCGCAGAGCAGGGGAATGAGGAAATTGTGGCTCCTGGTCCCAATGATGATATTGTCCCGATCATCGAGATCAGTTCGGATGAAGATGAGGACGAAAGCGATTACGATGACGAGGAGGAGGAGGAGGATGGAGAAGAAGAGCAGACAGAGGAAGATGTAGAAGAAGAGCAGACAGAGGAAGATGTAGAAGAAGAGCAGACAGAGGAAGATGCCGAATATGATACTAGAGAGGAGACTGGCACTAACGAGGAGTCTTCCAATGTCGATGAGTCTTCCAATGTCGATGAGTCTGCCAATAGCGATGAATTTGAGGCTGCCCAGAAGATCAGACGACACATGGGAAAAGCTCTCGATTTGAATGACGCTTCCAACCGGCGGATGCTGGAGATTTTCACCGATCTGCAGCCCCGTGTCGAGGTGAGCAAGGAGTACACTGCCAAGGCCGAGGACTTTAAAATCATACGTCTCGTTGGCCTTGGGGCATTCGGAAAAGTTTACTTAGTCCGGAAGCTGAATGGTTTAGATGCCGGCCAAGTGTTTGCCATGAAGGTGATGAAAAAAATGTCGATCATCCACAGCTTGGGCACCGCCAAGCACATTAAATGCGAGCGCGAGATCCTTGAGCTCATACAGGGAAAACCGTTTCTCATTTGTTTGCAGTATGCTTTCCAGGATTATAACTGTTTGTATCTGGTCATGGGTGAGTTGCAATGAAATAAGCGATGGAAATATCTTAAATTTTAACTCCATTTTCCAGATTATGTCCGAGGCGGCGAGCTTTATCGACGTCTCGCTTGTTACGGACCCCTTACGGAGCCAGAGGTGTGCCTCTATGTCGCTGAGCTTGTGGTGGCCCTGGAGCAGCTGCACAGCCGTAATGTCATCTATCGTGACTTAAAGCTGGAGAATGTCCTGATCGATGATGAGGGTCACATCGTCCTGGCCGATTTTGGCCTGACCACCATCTTGAAGCCCGAACACAATTACCGTTCGCATGCCTTTTGCGGCACGGTGGAGTCTATGGCACCGGAAGTGATACAAATTCCGCCGGAGGGCTACGGCAAGCCCGTCGACTGGTGGGGTGTGGGTATTCTCACCGCTGAGCTCCTCTCCGGACATAATCCCTTTGCCATACGAAACAATATGAAACCACATGAAATCGAATACAATATTCTCAACAGGGACCCGCTGCTTCCTGCACATTTGAGCCCAAGGGCAGCCGATTTTATTCGCAAACTCTTGGATAAGAATCCAAACCGACGGCTTGGCGGCTGGGAGATCCGCATGCATCCATTCTTTGCGCGAATTAATTGGACAATGCTGAGTATGAAGGGCTACTATATGCCCTTTGTGCCAGACATTACGGCCATCGATGATTTCCAGCACTTTGACACTGAATTTACCGATCAGCCCACCGAGCATGCCTTAAATGTGAAATCGCCATGCTTCCTAAAAATTTACAGGGGCTTTGAGTTTACATCGCCGGTGATTCTGGAGAAGTTGCGTTGGCTTGAGGACCGGGGCACCGAGGTTTTCAATGATAATTTGGAGGTGAGTTCTGAGCAAATACTCTTCAAGGTAATCTTTAACTTTATTTTTTATAGAATATACCCCGTCGTCCGGATGATATGAAGCTGGGCAGCCGTCTCTGTAGCGGTGACTTTGGCACCTGTTTCCAAATGAACGAGAATTATTTGGTTAAAATCGTGCATCTTTCCAAATTCCGTATCGCCGAGGTGGACGCCTTAATGTCCTTCTCGCACACAAATATCGTCAGGTATTTCGGGACATACTGGTATGAAAGCGAGTTATGGATCGTCATGGAGTACCTGAGGGGTAATGATCTAGGCTGGTCCATCCGTCAAGGTCAGCTGAACGAGCGCTTTAGTCGCGCAATATTTCCGCAATTGGTTAGTGCCATTCGCTATTTACATAGGGGAAAATTCATTCACGGCGATGTCAAGCCTCAAAATATAGTCTGGGTGGATGAAAAGTCGCTGACAGTCAAGCTGGTGGACTTTGGCTTTGCCAGGTGAGATAATGATGTCATTAAATTAACTTCCTTGCTCACCTATATCTTCTCCGAGAATAGCTTCAACAGCGGTTTCATCCAATGGAAAGACAAGGCTCGCTATACCCTGGACTATGCTCCACCAGAACTTTTGGTTGATAATGGACGAGCCTTTTATAGCCCGGCAGTGGATATCTATGGATTGGGGGCCACACTGTACTGCATGGTTGTGGGCCATCCTCCGTTCCGTTCAAATGTCAACGATGTGGATCTGTCGCTGCAGACCAAAGATATCCTAATTGATTACATGAGGCGTGGCGAATTCAATAAGAAGGCCGGCAAATGGTTGGATTCCAGTCGGGAGTTCCGTGATCTGGTGTCCTGGTGTCTGAAGAAAAATCCAAATGATCGTCCCAAGTTGAGGGATATAAGCAACTGTGAGTGGCTTAAGGCTGATAAATATGAGGATCTGGTTGTAGGAGGTAAACAACAGGAGGCTGCAGGTCAACTACAGGAGGTTGGAGGTCAACTTCAGGAAGCTCAAGGTCAAATACAGGAGGTTGAAGGTCAACTTCAGGAGGCTGAAGGTCAACTACAGGAGGTTGGAGATCAACTACAGGAGGCTCAAGGTCAAATACAGGAGGCTGAATGCGACCTGGAACTGGAGATCGAAGGTGGACAAGATGTGGCTGAAGGCGATTTACTGGAGATTGACGGTAAACTATATGTGGCTAAAACCGGACCACTGCCTGAAGGTGAAATGTCGATGGCTCACCGCGGACTATCGGAGGTTGCAGATGAACTAATTGGGGCTGAAGATCAACTATGTTTTGGTTTTGAAAGGAAACAACAAGAGCTCCAAGCTCTGGCCCCTCGCTATCCGATCAATCGTCGCTACAGCGTGGATTAATCATTTTTTCTGATCAATAATTTCCTAATATCATGAAATCTTTTCCTTTTTTGCGTTTTCCATTATAAAGCCAATTTTTGTTGAACAAATTTGGTGATTTTTCAGTTTCATGTATTCATCAATGAAGATTTATTTGCGTTCTATAATATGTATTTAGTGTGTATTAATTAGCCAAAGTAACTCCAGTGCCAGGTGATGCCTGATGTTTCCCTGGATTCTCATCTCTATGCTGCTGTCAGGACTCGTTGCTAGCAAGAAAATCTTGCATTGACAACAACCTAAAGTGGTCAGCGCCTAAGCCCAGACATGCTGCACTTAGATGGATTTTCCTGCGGTGTCCTTAAAAATTGATTTAAGACTTGTAAATGTTCCCACACCGTCGTGTCCTGGTTTTATTTTTTTCCTTGTTTCCCCAAAAAGTATCCATCTACATCTCCATCTCCTGCTGCTTCTACTGGGTTCTGTCCTGGGCTCCTCTCCACGTTTTCCATGTGTGTGAGCAGCGGCAACTGGCCAAGCGGCACGGAACGGCACTTGAGTTAAGCTGTGCAAACGTTTGCATAATCACGTTCCAATTTAAATTGCTCTATTTGCCGGGATGCCCATTCCTTCCTCATATATCCGCTCCCAGTCTCCGAGTCCAGTCTGGAAAAAAAGCCGGACAAATTTTATATTAGCCGAACGCCATTCCAGCACTCGCATCTGTTTGCGGAGACTATGGGGGGGATTCCGATGTGATTCCGATTCCGTCCACTTTTCAAATCACTTCTTTTTTTCTCCCCCCTGTTCCTATTGGTGCGTAAACAAAGGGGCGGTGAGCAACAGTTGATAGTTTTCCGGGAAAGCTTATCGATTCGATTTGCATAGAGTGCATATTGCACTCAATGGGGATTGTGGGAGATCCTTACATCTTACATAGTTTAATAATTTTTAACTTAGTGTGCCATCCATCTATTTGGTGGATAGTAGACTATAACCTCATCCTTGATTATCGGTTCACCACTCTTGCCATCATCCGTGGGCTCCTTGTCGCACCACACTCGCTTTCCAATGCCGCGATTCTGTTGCCTGCCATGATATTTCACCGTCAGCATTTCCCAATCAAAGACCACTCCGGCCTGAAGGTTCAGGCCAGTTCGAAGCATCTGAAACATCCGGATAAGCTCATCGTAATCGGGTCGCTCGTCGAAACCCATGCCACGGCACAGGTCCAAGTAGACAGTGAATTGACCCGGAAAACCCTCGCACAGCACCTCATTGCTCACGGAGATTTTCTTCTCGAGAATCCGCTCGTACTGCTGATGCTTGGTGGAGGCCTCGATCCGTTGCCAGGGCAGAGAGCCGCGATTGAAATACATCAGTATGTAGCCCAGGGACATCATGTCATCGCGTCGCGAGGACTCCACACCCTCGTGGGCACTGATGGAGGCATAGCGAGCTGTGCCGGTGAGGCATCGTTCCTCACGATATGGTATATGCACTTTGGTGGATATGTCCATGTACTTCTTGGCCAGACCAAAGTCAATGAGATAGACCACCCGGTTTTTTGTCCCCACGCCCATCACAAAATTCGCTGGCTTGATGTCGCGATGAAGGAATCCACGATCGTGGACATATTGAATCCGGCGTAGCATCTGCTCCCCCAGGAGCAACACCGTCTTCATGGTGAAGTAACGCTCGCAGAAGAGAAAGAGTCGCTGCAACGAGGGTCCCAGGAGATCCATTACCATGGCCTGATAGTTGGGACCCTTGTGAAAGTTACGAATTACGGGCAGGCCAGGAGCCAACCGGAGAGCCTTGTAAACGCGACGTTCGAACATGAGTTGCGGGTGTTTTACCTAATGGGTTAGAAGATGTAGTAAATATTATTATTATTTGTTTAGTGTTAATTGTAGTAGACTCACCTTGTTGCTCTCTACTTTGATGGCCACTCGTTCACTGCTATGCGGATTAACGGCCAGGTAGATATCACCAAAGGAACCGCATGCTATCTTGCGTACGACCTTATAGCAACCAATTTGCACTTCCTTGAAGCGTATTGGTTTGGCTGCCTCTGCATCCATTGCTCCAATTTAGGGTTTTGTCTTTTCGCCGAAAGAAATATTTAATATTTATTATACGGCTAAGTGTGTAGAGTAACTTCAAAATAAATGGAAATGGAAAATTCACAAGTTCCTGGGATAACATTTCTATTTCAAAATGGAATACATACAATCATCTTTATAATAATTTAAATTATAGAAATCTTGGAATTGGTTCTTTTAGCTGCTTCCCTCAGACTGCAGCCTTTCTGGTAATATTAAGTATCCGCCACGTTGATCGGCTCACTTAAACTATGGCCAAGTCCTTTAAGAGTAGTGCCATGTGCGGTGTCTATATGTATTTGTGCGTATCGATTATCCTGGCAGACGGCGACATCCGTAGACGGAGACACAAATGGTATCAGGATGAGCGGCAGACGAGGAAGGAGGAGGAGCAACAGCAGGACAACGACTACGACGGGGGAGGACCAGGATCAACTAGCCAGTAATAATGTCTTTCGCTGACATTTGACATTTTGGCTATATATCACTCACATTGTGACAACTGGCAACTTGGCATTCAAATATAGCAGGAGCACCAGGCACTCTCTCTCTCTAGGCCCTCTCAGACGTTTAAGAACAATAAATTTGTGCCCAAGCTCTCCACTCCTCCTCCCTCTCTCAATACTTATATAGCTGCCTTATCCACCGCCGATATATGTCTGTATATATAGGCTCCCTTTTGCCCGTAGCAAAATGTTTGGCAGTAGCCTGCAAACCCAATGACAAGACGGAAGAGACATATTTGAACTGGAATGAAAAGGGGGGTCCATTATCATCATCGATGCAGGGAGAGAAAAATCTTGTAAAAGAAATATAAAAAGATATATTAAAATATATAAAGAATTGATAAGAGGAAGAATAGCAGCAAAATAATCTTTAACTAAATGAAAACATACAAGTTTTTCTACTCCAACTACTTGATTTGAAATTTAAGCAGACTTAACTTGATCTACATTAATTCTATGATTAAAAATCATTTTAAAGTAACAATTAACTTAAGATTTTGTTCCCTGTACAAGCCCAAAAAGAGCTGGGACAAAGTAGGAGAAACTGTAGATGGATCCTGGCATTTACATCATAACATGGCCGTCTGATGGATAGACAGATAGCCGGGCATTAGCATTAGTGGCCACCACAATGGCCACGATGATGAAGATGATTACGATGATGGGCGGGAATGGAGCAGGAACGAGGACAACGATGACGATGGCGACAGCCGCGCTCAACTCCAAGGATGAGCCGGCTTCTGTTCCTGTTCCTGGCCGAGATTCGGATGCGGATAGCGCGACTCGGACTCCTCGGGCTGGGATTCTGAATCGGATGCGGATGCGGATCTGGTGTCTGGTATTTTTGGTGGGCGTGGATGGCTGATGTTGAAACATGCGGGTAAATTATCTTTTCATTTCCATCAGCATCCTTGTTGTCTGCCACTGATGCTGCTCCTGCTGCTGTTTGATGTACTTGCACCACCTCCACCTGCAGCGTGTAAAACAGAGTCCTGAGGCAGTCAGTTCTGGGTCCTGGGGAAAAGTCGTCATTCGATTGAATTGTTTGGCTTGTTGCGCTTCTAGCCGGTAGCTTCAGGCTGCCGGCCTTGGGTCTCATTAAGATGGAATTCAAAGTCATTAAAGAAGAGTCTTACAGCGAGAGATTCGTGAAATTGAGACTGAAAGTGAAAGGGAAAAGCAATGAGACCAAAGAAAATGAATTTTTGAGACACCTCTGATACTACCTATTATAAGAATTTAATAGTTAGATTAATTATATCGATAGAATAAGATCGAGGTTCTGCCATATCTAGTTTTCTTTTTGCGAAACTAAACAAGACATAAAATAAACTACTTTTTTGTGTGTTAAATTTGGCGCAGTAGAAGAGGTAAAAATACTTTTCTGTATTCACTTATCATAATATATTTGGAGATACATTTCGCGGGAAATGCAGACATACTTTCGAAACTGTTTGTTTTTCTATTTGGTTTTAATTAAATAGAAATTTACAGGCGTCATGATGAAATTCTTGGAAAAAGCTCTGCCAAATTAAATCTTCATTTATTAATGCAATCTCACTACTACAAATTTATATATATGTGTAAAAGATTATAGATATAACTGATGTTTGGTTTAGATATGTTATTTTACTGTATTTTTTCTTCATTTTAGCACAGTTTGGTTTATAACATTGTAAAGAAAAAAACTCCCCAAGATGGAAGCGTAAACAAACAAGACAATAAAACAGTGTTGGGTAATACAAATATATTGTGTTGGTAAGTACTCACAACGATAACATTTGATATCGATATATAATTCATTTTACCAATAAGTAAAATATTTTACAACAAGAAAGGAAGCTAACTTCGGCACGCCGAAGTTTATATACCCTTGCAGATAGAACTTCTATGAATAGGAATCCATAAAATATAAATTATATATATTTGTGTTAAAAAACAATGAAGTAATACCTGCTTTCATTTCATTCACCTATACATATTATATTTGCAGTTTTACATTCACAGATTTGCATTTTCCTCTACATCAAACGATCGTTTGTATGGCACCTATATGATATAGTCGTCCGATTTTTATGAAATTTGCCACAAAATTTAAGACTTATATAAAATGGCTATACCTCAAATTTGATGAAAATCAGCTGAAAACTAAAAAAGTTATAAATTTAATTGTATTAATTTCTCGATCGATCCTATGGGAGCTATATGATATAGTAATCCGATTTTCATAAAATTTTAACAAAATTTTAGAATAATATAAAATGGCTATATTTTAAATTTGATTAAATTCTGTTGAAAACTAAAAATGTTATCGCCACCGCGATTGTCAGTCTTCCGACAACAGCCACCGCCATTCTCATTCCTCTCAAATTTCTCGATCGTTCCTATGGGAGCTATATGATATATTAGTCCGATTTTCATAAAATTTTACACAAAATTGTAGAATAATATGAAATGGCTATATCTCAAATTTGATGAAAATCTGTTGAAAACTGAAAATGTTATACTTTTTAATTGAATTAATTTCTCGATCGTTCCTATGGGAGCTATATGATATAGTCGTCCGATTTTCATAAAATTTTACACAAAATTGTAGAATAATATGAAATGGCTATATCTCAAATTTGATTAAATTCTGTTGAAAACTAAAAATTTTATAATTTTTTTTGTAAAACTTTTCCGATCATTCCTATGACAGCTATATGATATAGTCGTCCGATCCGGCCCGTTCCGACATATATACGAGTGAGAGTATATAGAAGACTAACTGCAAAGTTTCATTCAGATAGCTTCAAAACTGAGAGACTAGTTTGCGTAGAAACGGACAGACGGACAGACGGACAGACGGACAGACGGACAGACGGACAGACGGACATGGCTAGATCGACTCGGCTGTTGATCCTGATCAAGAATATATATACTTTATATAGTCGGAGGTGCCTCCTTCACTGCGTTGCAAACTTCTGACTGAAATTATAATACCCTGCAAGGGTATAAAAATTAAACCATATTTAAATTAGATGAGAAATGCTGCTTACAAGATAGTTATAAATTAGTAGACAAAAACTTTATTCTAGTTGTGTTGAGTTGTGTTTTACCGATTTTTACAAAACATAATACCAAAAGCGTTAATATCTATCCATGGACCTCTTCTATATCCATTCATCCCTCTAAATGAGTATTAATGAATATGAAACTTATACCAAACTAAATTGCCAACGTGTCGAAAACAAACGTGACAAAAGTTCGCTTCTGCAATTGCACACAAAACCGAGAAAGAGACAGAGGACGGAGGAGCACCAGGAAGATAGAGATGGGTATAGAAGGCGCTTTGATGGCGCTAAAGTTGGAACGAACAACAAACAGCAAAATATAAATGACTTTAATAGCTCATCAATGATTCAGGCGGATATCCGGGCTGTCCAAGTGCAGTCGGTTTATTGGATACCGGAAAGGCAGTCCCCTCTCTCTCTCTATCACTCTCTTTCTATCTCTTTCTCTCCCTATCTCCCTCTTTGTATATAAATGTGTATATCCCTCTCTATCTGACACCCGGTTTTTGTGTATTTGTTTGATTGTGCCCTGAACTGGAGTGCAAAAGAGTCTGTGTGTGTCTGGGCCTTTGGCTGATCAGAGTTTTCAGGTTTGAGGTGCCTTCCGTCTGCTTAGCTGCAATGATTTTCACGCTACCTACGAAAAGTATGCAGGAAAATTTGCATATTGTTTTGCTCCTGCAGTGCCTCCTGCAATTTGTCTCGTACCCGAGAGTTTTCCACACCCTTGGCAGCATCTCGAATTGCACTGCGAAAATAGTGTGGTATAATGGAGAGGTCTTGGAATTATATTTTATGGCATTAGCTGCTGTTGAAAAGATTTGAAATTAGCATAGATTTTATAGTTTTTTATTTTAAAAGGCCTAACAATCATATTTTCATATCATATATATGTAGGGTATTATAATTTCAGTCAGAAGTTTGCCACGCAGTGAAGGAGTTACCTCCAACCATATAAAGAATATATATTCTTGATCAGGATCAATAGCCGAGTCGATCTAGCCATGTCCGTCTGTTCGTCTGTCCTTCTGTCCTTCTGTCCGTCTGTCCGTCTGTCCGTTTCTACTCAAATTAGTCTCTCAGTTTTGAAGCTATCTGAATGAAACTTTGTAGTTAGTATTCTATATACTCTCACTCTTATGTCGGAACGGGCCAGATATCTTATAGCTGCCAAAGAAATGATCGGATAATTTTTACAAAAAATATTAGAACATTTTCAGTTTTCAACAGAATTTGATCAAATAACCAGTTCATATTATTCTAAAATTTTATGTAAAATTTTATGAAAATCGGACAACTATATCATATAGCTCTTATAGGAACGATCGAGAAATTAATACAATTAAAAATTATAACTTTTTCAATTTTTAACAGAATTTGATCAAATTTTAGATATAGCCATTTGATATTATTCTCCAATTTTGTGTAAAATTCTATGAATATCTGACTCCTATATCATATAGGTGCCATACAAACGATCGTTAGATGTGGAGAAAAAATGCAAATCTGTGAAAGTAAAACTGCAAATATAATAGGTATAGGTGAATAAAATGAAAGCAGGTATTACTTCATTGTTTTTTAACATAAATATATATCATTTATTTTGTTTGGATTCCTAGTCATCATTTTTTGTGGCAGTGTTTTGTGGCATATGCAAACCATTGACAAGTCACCTCTCACTCGACTCGCTCCCTTCCTCCCTTTACACCTGGCCTGGCCTGCAGTGTGTGTGTGTGTGTTTGTGTGTGCATCATTATTATCATCATTATAGATGGCACATGGCCAGTTTTCCACCCATTTCCCCACTTTCCCACTTGACATTTTCCTCCATTGCCCCTGCGACAGTAGCCGCTTGGCTTTTGTGTCTCATTTATTATGCAAATCCGAGAGACGGACAGCGGGACAGCGGGCTAAGGTGTGCGGGATCCTGCATCCTTTGCTCCTTGGCTGATTGGGCCAAAAGGGTTCAGAGAGAGAGTCCAAGAGTCCGGCTGCTGCAATTACAGTATGTTGAGTGAATGAGAAACAATAATGCTTATCGCATATTAATGAAACGACAGCAAATATTACAAATCAATGCAATTGGAAAATTTATGCAGTTTCCCATTCCCTTACCGCAAATGTTAGTTAAAGTTTTGACAAACACATCAAATGGAAAAAGGTGAATATATATTCATAAATCGAAAGCTTAGGCACTCGCTCTCTTAAACTATTATATATAATATAAAATGATGCCTTTGAATAATTTAATTGTAAAGGTAAATAAGTCTAGATTATGCTTGGGAAACTTTTCTATAGAAATGTTTATAATTATATTTGATCTTCCAACTAAAATAGCCAAATGAAACAAAAAAGCAGGGTACATTCTGGTCAAAATGACAGAGAGGGAAAGAGAGAGAGTGAACAATAATAAAAAGTAAATATAATTTCAGTGTTAATCAATTACGTGCTTTAATTGAAATCGCCAAAGTCAATAGCGAAAATCAAGTACAACCAAAGCGAGAAAGCATTTTGGCAATATATATACCTCACTCTCTCTCTCTCTGTGAAATGCAATTCATATAATATAATATATATTGTGTTTATTTATCTATGAATTTTTAAGCGACCAAGATACCCACTTTTCACTCCGCAAAAGCAAATGTCCAAATGGCCGGACAGTCCGTTGATTTCTGTTTGCCCACGAATTGCTTTTCAATTAACTCTAAGCCGTAAAAACATAATTGAAATGCGGCTGACCCACCCACCCATAAGGCAATAAACAAAGTAAGACAACTATGTAAGAGTCTACCGACGAAAAGGTACCCTTTTTGGAGTGTTCAGAGAATCTGACTAATTTCGAGAATATTTCTGCTAAAATATCTGAAGAGTTTGTTATAATAAATTTAATCAGAAGCTTGTAACTCACGAAGGAGTCATTTCCGACCCTATAAAGCATATATATTCTTGATCAGCATGAACAGCCAAATTGATCTAGCCATATCTGGTGGGAAACAAATTTTTTCGATTTTTTTTTTCCAAATTTGATGATAATTTTTATATATTCAAAACTGGAAAATGTGACAAAAATTTAAATAAAGTAAATTCAAAAACTAAATATGCAGATTTGTTAACCTTAGAAAAACAAGCGAAGAACAGCTTTCTGAATTGTAATTGATGATTTTTTGGCTTGGTTATGAGTTTTTTAACTTTTGATTTGTCGAAAAAATTTGCATGTAAAAATATAGGTAATATCCATTAAAAAATGGTAATGCACCTTCAGTCGGAAGCTTAAAAGAAAGTGAAGGAGTCATTTCCGACCCTATGAATCATTGACAGTTTTATTAACCTGATCAAAATGAACATACGAGCGCTTTCCGAATTGAAATTAATGCATTTTTGGCGTAGTTATGCATTTTTTAAATATTGG